AGCATCCGTACTTCAAACAATAGTCAGGTTAATAAACTGACTCTAACAAGTGACGAATCCACATTAATAGAAGATGGTGGAGCCAGAAGTGATGGATCACTGGAGGATGGTGATGATGTTCACCGAGCTATAGATAATGAAAGGGATGGTGTCACTTACAGTTATTCCTTCTTTCACTTCATGCTTTTCCTGGCTTCCCTTTATATCATGATGACCCTTACCAACTGGTACAGGTACTTATATTTTATAAAAACTTAAGATGAGAGAATTCTGATTTTTTTCTTATAGTTGTTTTAAAACATGATTGGATTCAAAATACTTTTTAATCCTCTAATATATTTCAAAATTTACAGCTAAGTGAACAGTGAGAGCAGCACAAGAAATGCAGACTTGACTTTCTTGCTTTAGCAATAATGGAAACATTGAAATAGTTCCAAATTTTGAAGTGACTGAAATAGAAAATTTAAAAATCTAAAGTATGATTTTGTGCAAAAGATTAGTGATTCTCTTCAAGATATCAGGCAATTCTGTTTAATTATTTTTTAATGCATAATATTCTTAGATAATGTGTAAGATTACTTTCAGTACCACCTAAAGATGAAGAAAAAAGATTATTCTTTGCTGCCTTTTTTTTAAGAGCAGCTTTTACTGATATTTAGTACTGAAAATGTTTTTTAAAATTCCTATGCCATATCATTAAGCTGCAAGAATCCTAATAGTTCTCAATAATTCAGTGTGGTTGTTAGATAATAGTAATTGTTAAGACTTATAGAGCAAAGATTTGTTGGTATATTTCATTACTTAAAAGTCAGCTCAATTTGGGGTCTGTTTCTTACCCAGTCTGTAAATCTAAGAAGCAAGGGAAGTGGGTGGAGATAGGTTGGGCGTGGTATTCCATATACATTCTGAACAGTCTTCATGTGTATTATCTGTTTATACAGAGGTCACATTCAGTTTCACTTGCAAGAAATATATAAAGTAATTCAGAATCATGCAAAAGAACTACTTAAAAGGCTTTGTTCCTGGGACTGGGGTTGTAGCTCAGTGGTAGAGTGCTTGCCTCTCATGATTGAGGCACTGGGTTCTATCCTCAGCACCACAAAAAATAATATTGTGTCCATCTACAACTAAAAAAAAATATATTTTTTTTTAAAAAGGCTTATGTTATTTCATTAAAAGAAACACCATTAAATTTGTGGAAAGCAAAGCAGCAGATTGYTGCTACTAAAGAATATTTCTGAATAAAGTTAGTACCTTTATGGCTGATGATACAACACTCTTCCCCCACCTTCCCTTTTTGTTTTTTCTTAAATTTTAGGTATGAGCCCTCTCACGCAATGAAAAGTCAGTGGACTGCTGTCTGGGTGAAAATATCTTCTAGTTGGATTGGCATCGTGCTGTATGTTTGGACACTAGTGGCACCACTTGTTCTTACAAATCGTGATTTTGATTGAATGGGACTTCTGGCATGAAAGTCCTACTTTGGTCATCATTTATTTGAAATTAACAGTATTCCCAACTTTTGTAAATTGTGTATGTGTGTGCTTCCTGTGTAACTTCTCTGGTATTGTTCTGGCATGAATTAGATTTTATTGCTTGCTGTTTTATTCATTATATTTTGCCACGTGCATTGATCATGTGAATTAGAGTGAGTTGTAAAGGCAGAGTTTTATGAATAATGGTGGTGATTTTATTAATAAAGTGGACATTGGTAGGCTTATCTCTCTCTGCTCTAAGTATGAAATTAAAAGTAAAAACAAAACTGTCAGTTTGCTTTTAAAAGTTTGCTAGACCTTCCTTAAGCTGTTTTAGAAAAAGCATAAAAGTAAATGTGTATGGCTGCCTTTTGAAATATTTTATGTGTTGCCTTATGGGAGACTATGAAGAACATAGTTATTCTAAAATTGTATAAACAAGTTCACTTACATGGTTAGTTGTCTTAAAAATGCAGGTCACTCAAATTCATTTAAGATTTACCATTAGTATAAAAGTAGAGAACTTAGCACAAGAA